ATACAATTTGTGGCATTAAAATGTCACAGAGGTGCCAATTAGACAAAAATGTCTAAAAGGCTTGGGGAGAGGAAGGCACATAATAATAATTTTTTAAAAGGTTGAGAAACACTAAGATGCTAATAGGTTCTCATGTGGAAGCCTCTTATGGGTGAAAATTGGTTTTGTTTCTAAGGAGACGGCCTGCTGAGTGCCAAGTTCTGACACATAAGTAGACCTTTGAAATGGGGTCAGTTTGTAAGAGGAGGATTACCTTTAACAAAGGCAGTTCTTTCTGTCATGTGGAAAGTTTTGAGTGCAAACATTCATAGAGCACCTTATTTAATGCATGAGGACCTAGAGAAGAATAAGCCTCAGGCCTTAGAGCACTATACATCAGCTCAGTGTAGTGATGGAAGCATGTGCCAGGTGATTTTGGCTTCTTGTTTTCCTCTCCCCTCCCCCTATGCAACAGGGTAAAGAGCTTTTTTTAAAAAATCATGTTGTTAAGCTTGAATGAGTTTGCTTACTCAGCATTGTTGAGCACCCACTAAATGCTAACCACTCTGGTAGCTTCTGGAGAATGTGATGTCTTTTATCATCGCCATTAGCCACATGAGGCTATTTAAATTGAGATTAAAATTAAATAAAATGAAAACTCAGTTCCCCAGTCACACCAGCCACTTTTCAAGTGCTTGCTAGCCATATGTAGCTTGTGGCTACTGCAATGACCAACACAAGTTCAGAACATCTCCATCATCAGGAGGCTCTACTGGGCAGTGCTGGTCTAGAACCTTGCAGCACATGGATATTCACACACGATTCCAGTGTGGAGCAGTGGTTAAGAATATGACCTTGAGGGTCAGACCTGAGTTGGGATCCCAGCTCCATCCCTCACCTCACCAGCTTTATGGTCGTCTTATGTTACTTACCCTTTCTGAGCTACAACTCAGATAATGTGATAATGTGCCTGCCTCATAGGGTTATATTGAGAATTAAGGATGATGCATTGACCTGCAGTCATTGCCCAGTGTGTCTCCTGTCATTATTACCATTATTTTTGTTGTCATTTCAATTATCACTCTCATCATTATTACTGTTATCGGCAAGTGGCATGGTTTGTTTTTGTTTTTTGTGTTTTGAGTCTGAGTCTCACTCTGTCACCCAGGCTGGAGTGCAGTGGCACACTCAGGGCCACCACAGCCACGACCTCTTGGGCTCAGGTAATCCTTTCACCTCAGCCTTCCAAGTAGCTAGAACCACAGGCACATGCCACCACACCCAGCTAATTTTTTTGTTGTTGTTTATTGTAGAGACAAGGTCTCGCCATGTTGCTTAGGCTGGTCTTAAACCCCTGAGCTCAGGTAATCCTCTTGACTCCGCCTCCCAAAGTGCTGGGATTACAGGAGTGAGCCACTGCACCCAGTTTAGGTGGTGCGTTTACACCAGCCAGACTGACAATCTATAGTCATTAAATTCTGTAATGTTCCTATTGCAGAGGTTTTCAAAGATTAGGTTGTTTTTTGTTTGTTTTTTTGAGTTGGAGTCTTGCTCTGCCACCCAGGCTGGTGTGCAGTAGTATAATCACGGCTCACTGCATTCTCTACCCTCTGGGCTCAGGTGATCCTTTTGCCTAAGCTTCCTAAGTAGCTGGGACCATCACCATGAATGGCTTATTATTTATTTTTTTATTTTTTGTAGAGGTGAGGTCTCATTATGTTGTCCAGGCTGGTCTTGAATTCTTGGTCTCAAGTGATCCTCCTTCCTCAGCCTCCCAAAGTGCTGGGATTATAGGTTCACACCACACCTGGCCAAGGCTGTTTCCCTGTATGTATTTCTTCCCTCTACAGTGGTCATCATCCCTATCCCTTACAATGCATTATAAATCATCCAAGAACCTGGGTTTGGGGGTCCAGCTGTCCCCCCATCATTGACAACTAGAGAAGTAGAGGAGTAACTTTCAAGTGGAAAGAAGTATGATTGTTGATTTAATTTCTGATATATCCCGGAAAACTGTAGTATAGAGGTGGATTGGAAGAATGGGAAATAAAGCCCTTCCTGAAAGTGACTACAAGATAGTTGCTGTGCTCCAGCAGAGAGGAGCTGACTGACTGCTTGGGGATGTATTTGTTTAAGATTTTTCCACCAAGAATCTCATTATTATGAAGGCTTTTATTTCCAGCTGAGTCCTGAAGTACAAGCAGAGGCACCAGCCCATGGCCAAATCATTAAGACAAATTAAGACATATTAACATATGTTGAAAACAATTACCCGCATAGATTTAATTTGTTTCACTGCTGGAAGAAACTCCTGGGAAGGCACCAAACTCATTCCTGAGAACAGTTCTGTAGCTACCCTGTTACGCTGTCACTTGTCAGCTACTTAAATTGGACTTCTACCAAAGAAGGACAATATATTTGAAAATAGATTCTGTATTAGGTGCTTATACAAGTTACTTGGAGACTGTTAAGGTGATGATTTTCCTTTTTTCTTTTAACCTACCATTATTATAAACAGCTGCTATAGTTGTTTATCAAAACAATGTTCTGAGTTCTACAATGAAATAGGCACATTTTAGAATCATAATATACTTAGCAAACTTATATGTTTGCTGATGGTTTGCTGTTTCTTTAAGAGACCTAAACTAAATGGGAGATAATTCATTTGTGTCTAAATTTTGGCCTTTGATCCCTCTTGATTTTGTTGTTGGTGTTGTTGTTCCTTGCATAATTGTTATGGTTCATTGTCTTACTGTCAGAAAATGAAGCACACCAAACCACATTTTTCTCAAAGAAAGATCGTCAAGGTTATTCTAGAATGTGACTGTTGCAATATGCCCATCATATGGTAATTGCACAGTCTTGTCCCAGAAGTTGGCAAATGGGCCCTTAACAACATCCTGGAGTAGCCAGAGGACCTTCTCTCAAAATATTAAATTCCAACGAGCAGGCAACAGCTGGAGGTGTGTTTAGAGTGAGAAATGACTTGTTCTGTTGTCACAGTGGTGATAGCTTCCTTGCGGATTTTTCCTGTGTATAAAATGTGGGTGATTATATGTGAGGAGCATAATCCCCCAGTCACTTAAAATAAATGGATAGACCTTTTACAGTGTGAAAAGTGAATATAAAAGCTACCTGTGCACGCTGGCAGTCATACAGGTTTACTGCCTTTCCCTTGGGGTTGCCTTGTGACCACCTGTTCCTTTTTCCTGCACTTTAGGCTTTATAAGCACCCTGCACTTTAGGTTTTGTAAGTGGTCATCGGATAACTCATGGGTGTTGCAGAATCATTTTCTATAATGATCATTTGACTCAGAATGTGACCTCAGGAAATCAGGCTGAGGAAAATCTGAAACATCCAAAGAAAGGTTGCTGAAAGATGATGTGGTTGTTTCTCAACTTGCCCCATCTTCCACATAGAAATCCAGTCAGAAAACTGAATTTGCAGCCAGGCTCGGTGGCTCAGCCTGTAATCCCGCACCTTTGGGAGGCTGAGGTGAGTGGATTCCTGAGCCTGGGGGTTCGAGACCCGCCTGGGCAGCGAGACCTCATCTCTGCAATAAATCAAAAAATCAGCCAGGCGTGGTAGCGCATGCCTGTAATTCCGGCTACTTGGAAGGCTGAGGTGGAAGGATTGCCGGAGCCCAGCAGGTCGAGGCTGCGGTGGCCGGGAGCGGCCACTGCACTCCAGTCTGGGCGACAGAGTGGGACTCCAACTCAAAAAAAAAAAAAAAAAGAAAGCTGAATTTGACTCCATTTGGATGACTCCATTTGGCAAGGAGGGATTCATGCCTTTCACCTCTAAAACAGCTGCCTTTGTCATTCCAAACAATTCTTTGAAGTCTAAGCAACACTTAGTCATTTTATTAGTAGCCAAACATCATTTGAAACAAGATCTAACAATGTGACCGTAAGTCTCTGAAATTACCTGTGCCCTGAGAAATTATTTATTTATATCCTTTCTCTTTGAAACAGAAGATTTAAAGTGTCTCACAATAGAAGCCATACACAATAAGGTTGTTCACATAGAAGCAATTTAAAAATCATGAAAAGAGGAAGGAAATATCCTAGCCAGGATGGATAATGACATTACTGTGAATTTGGTCCTAAGACAATCCAAAGATCTAGCAGTAAGTGGATAATTAAATAAATTATGGTATAGCCACATGATGGAAGATTATGTACCATTATAATTATCCTCAGTGTGAGTTTGCAATAATGAGGGAGACCACTTATACAATTTTAAGAAGAGTGTGGGTTGAAAACATAAAATTCTCTCAGCTATGTTTTAAAAAATTGGAAAAAATGTTGGAAGAAAATTCACTGAACTATTAGCTGATTGATGAGATGAAATTATTTTTGTTTTCCTTATATTTTTTCTCCTTTTTTAGATATTGTAATGTATGTATTACTTTTATAATCACATGTAAGTGTTATTTTTTCAGTTGACTCTGAGTTCCGTGACAATTCTCATTATGTGATCAAAGAACTTATCTCAGTTCTTCAAGATAAATTTTTCTTTGAGACTGAATTTCAAAGGGGGGGTATTCTAAGATTGTTGAGTGATATCATGTATGAATCTTGGTAAAGGTCTTAGTGCAAATGCAGAAGGGGGACTCCTTATGACTGTTTTCCGACCACCTTCCACGAAGAGCCAAAGGCAGGGTACTCAACTCCAGGCTAAGGCATGGGAATTAGCCTGCAGAGGATTTGTATGTCACTGGGCTTCCAACTCTTAATTCAGCATTTGAAATTTTGAAGCGCTGCTGTTGCCCACTGCATCTTTTCCATCCAAATCCTAACCGGGCCCGACCCCGCTTAGCTCCCGCAATCAGACGAGTTCGGGCTCTTTCAGGTTGGTGTAGCAGTAGACACAACTTATTCAGACAGTGTGAAAAGGACCTAATAGATGCAGAGAACAACTCTCAGCTCTTTATTTCATACCTGAGGATTGAGTCACCAGTCCTGGAAATCTGTCTTTTATATTTGTCTTAATTTGACTTTTCCTCCTCCCCCTTTAGGTGTTGCTGCACTGGATTCCAATGTATCTGGAAAAATTGGTCTGCGTGCTGTCGTATATTATTTCTGTACTACTGTCATTGCTGTAATTCTAGGTAATATTTATTTCCTCTATATAATTGCAACTGTTCTTTCAAAAAGTAGTTGGACTTCTTAAAATTCACATTAAAAAAAAATCAGAAAGTACTATTGTCAAACTACCATGAAGCTTTTTCCCTTAAAGTCTACATAGCACTTTCTATGTGAAGAAACTGTAATACTGACGGAAATTGAGCCATGGTACTGCTTATTCAAATCTCAAGTAAGAAGCAGAATGAAGGTGACAGTTCTATGCCTTGTCGGGATCATTGAGTACAAGGAAGTGAAGCCAAGAGATTATATAATTTTTAAACTGGATAATTAGTCTATAACAGTGGAGTTGAGCATAATTATAAAATATTTCCAGAAAGATCTCATTTTAGTGCAAATGAGCTAATAGCTAAGAAAACCTTGCCAAGTATAAATCCCACTTGTAGGAGGGAGAAAGTTCTAATGACGGAATAGCTGCTCTTGTGCCTTTCGCATAGTTCTGTGAATAATGCTTCATCTATCCTTTGGGACCTAGAAGGACATTTTAAGAAAGATGCCCAGAGTGGGAAGAAAGGGAGGGGATATATATACTCAGATGTTGCAGTCAGCTTGCCCCTGCAGACCTGCCTTAATTAATTGGCAAGAAGTGGTAGGATGTGGTGAGGTTTTAGTGGTATTAGGGCCGGGGATCCAGAGGACCTGAACCCTAGCTTAAACCAAAGTCACATCTCCTAATGAGGTTCCTAAGGGAGACAAACACAAAAAGCAAATAGCAGCAAAAAATCAAGGCATTGCTTTCTTACTACCTGAGTGTATATATCTCTTCTGCAACCCGAGAGGAAAGGGTGGGCCATGGCCCTCTTATTACCCGGTGACCCCGTCTCCTAGAAAGACTGACCCATTCGGCATCCCAAGGTCTACCTCTTGGATGCCTCCTCTTGGGGGAGGAGAAAATAGCGTGGGGATCTTTTTCTTCTTCCCTCCCAGTTAAACAAACTGAGGTCTTGTTCTCTTCTACAACCTTCCACCTTGTCTGACACTCAAGTGAGAGGAACCCAGAACTTTCAGATGCTCTACTATGTTTTTTTTTTTTTCCTTTTTTTGAGTCAGAGTCTCACTCTGTTGCCCAGGTGGGAGTGCAGTGGCATACTTATGGCTACCGCAGCCTTGACCTGCTGGGCTCAGGGGATCCTCCTGTTTCTGCCTCCCAAAGTGCTGGAATTACAGGCACGAGCCACCATGCCTGGCTAATGTTCTACCATGGTTCTTCCTTACAGTGAAATGAACCATGTCTCCCTGGAATTCCCCACTTATTTGTCCTCATTCCACCCCTGAACAACATTTTCCCATGTGACAGCTTTCCAGATACTCAAAGGTCTGTGGTATGGAAGGAAGACAAGGCTTGTTCTGTATGACCCTCAGGAGAATAACCAGCATCTGTGCGTAAAGGTTACAGAAAGATATAAAGATACTGAATGAGTTCTCTGGGCTGGAAAATGAATCACCCTCACCCCAACACCTGCCTAGCCTGATCTCATAGGCTAAAGAAAAAGAATATTCTCATCAGCAGGTGTTTCCAGTATCGATTCTGGTATGCAGCCCCTTCATTAAACACACACACACACACACACACACAGTTATTTCTGCTTCTTCATATAAATGGAAAAGTAATTAAGGTGACTGTGAGGTCCTGGTGGATGTTCAGGATTTTGGCTGGACCTCAGGGTCCTCCCTATCACAGTATTGCCTAATGCCATCATGCCGACTGGGTTCTAAGAAAGATGCACTGGGTGCCAGGTGTGTCAGGTGCCTTGGAAGGTTCTTAATGCTCTGTGGATATTGTCCTTGGCCACAGGTATCGTGCTGGTGGTGAGCATCAAACCTGGTGTCACCCAGAAGGTGGCTGAAATCGACAGGACAGGCAACACCCCTGAAGTCAGCACAGTGGATGCTATGTTAGACCTCATCAGGTGAGTGTCTTACTAGCAGGTGGTTTCATGGGCATGCGGTCTGTGCAGTTGCACAAGGTCTTATACATGGCTTAATGCTGTGCTGTGTCTGTCTTGAAATATTTAACGATTTTTGAATTTTTCATTTTGACCTGGACCCCACAAATTACATAGCCAGTTTTGCTTGTGAGGTCATTGTTCCAAGAGAAAATGGAATGAACAGGCTCCTCTGTCCAGATTTATGGTGGACAGACATGCAGAATTATACTTGTTACATAGAGATGCTGGGCTGAGTTGTGCAGTCAGTTCTGTACTATTTCTCTAAGTTCTGCATTAGAGAAATGCATTTTAATTATTTAGAAGAAACTCTTATCTGAAGAAACCAAAGCTGTAAATAGGTCAGTCAATTAAAAAACAGCAATTAAAGCAGAGACTCAAGAAATGATAAAAGATACATAGTACATATTTTATTTCCACTCTAAAACTTGAATGCATTTATTCACCAATTTTCTGATATAGGGCCAGGTCTTTTCTTTGAGTGTGCCTATTCATTGTAATTTCACACAATTTCGGTTGCATATGCAGCCTTTATAAATACATCACCTGCAATTTCCAGATGAAGTTTCCATAGAGTAGGGCAGCAAAACCCTTAGAAATTGCAAAGAAAGCCAAGTGCCAAATCCTTCCAGTTTTTCTGTTTCAATTGTCTTTTCATACCTATTTACACATAAAAGTTTTAGTCATTTGCCTTTATTGGGTTTCCAGGCATTCAGCTTAGTTTATATAGAAATCATACCCTCCTTTTCGTATTCCTATTTCATTGACTTACATCATATTTAATTAAATTATTATGATATTTGCAGTTGTCATAAAAAAATTTGTGAACAAATACAGTGGACTCTCAGCAAACACACCTCTTCCTTGATGAAAACAAAAATGTGCAAAATATTAAAGAATTAATAACCTCTTGACTGTAAGTGTCTACCTGCCAAGGTGGCGTTCAACAGAGGACAGAAAGCCTGTCAGTTACTCAGTGAATCGATTAAGTGGTGGTTGATTAGGAGAGCTTTCTATACTTGGTTGAAGCTCAGCAGGAAAAAATAAGTCTTAATACAAGGAAGCATCATGCAAAGGAGAGACCAGAAGAAAAACTAGAGTACTCATTCTTTACTCACTTTCACCAATGTGTTGGGTATGACAAAAAACACTTTTTGCCCTAGCGTAATGCTGTGTTTCATGTCTCCTACAGGAATATGTTCCCTGAGAACCTTGTCCAAGCCTGTTTTCAGCAGGTAATATTCTAGACTTTTACCCTTAAGTTGCTTCTGTCTTCCCATTGCCAATTAAGAAATTTTTTTTCTGCCATGATTCAATAAGTGGAATTAGCACATCAAAAATGGCGGGAGTGAGGGGGATGGCAGCAGAAAGTATACGTGTGAACGAACAGTGGAGTTTCAGGTGACTCCTCTGTTTTGTATTCAACTTCTCCCAGCTATAGTGAAGCACATGGCATACTATACTCTGCTTCCTTTTCTTTCTTATGATCTCTCCCCTGCAAAGGGCTCAAGTGGTACAAGTCTCTAACAATGAGAGTTTAAAATGTGGGCTCCAGTACCAAGGTTTTTGGAGAACCATGTTATATTTGTGCAGAAACTTAGATTCTGCAGGCGTAATGCAGTGAAAAAAAATAGCTCTCCTTGTCCTCTTTCCTTTTCTTCTCATGTCGGAACCCAGGATCTAACCTACATGATACGGTCTGTGTCTGGGATTCAATCTTCTCTTTAATCATTGTATCCCCGTTACTGGCACTCTACAGAGCAGTGTAACACAGCCATGTTTTTGTTTTTGTTTTTCTCTAGGAAAATTTAGCAATCTCTTCACTCCATTGACTTTGAGCCTTTTTCTCCTATTTATTTATGTATTTTAAGGCAGCTGAGTCTATCATACACTGCCATATTCATTTACATAAATTACATGAACAGAGACTTCTGTGTATACCAACAATAATGGCAATTCTATCACTCCCTGCTGGCCTCCACGAGGCACAGAACCTCCTCTATTTCAAAGCGCCTTTGCAGATCAGCTACAGTGGTTGTTTGTAAGGTTCTTGGTGTTGGCAGAGCCTTGTAGGGGGACTCTTATGCCTGGTGTATTGATATACTAGCTCTTTCTTAAACCTCCATGTTGAAGCTCCACAGAATCAAACAGGGCTAAAGAAAGAGAATTGAATAGAAAGCTCACTCAGTGAATAGCCCTAGAAGGACTTGATTTTGGAACAACCATGTTAAACTTTTCTTTTCTTTTTTTTTAATTTTTAATTTTAAAGATGTGGGGTGCAAGTCAGGGTTAGGTATATAAATGTTCATTATGCAGGTACCCTTGTTGATGAGGTGTGCTCCCTCCTCCCTCCCCCGGCAGATTCCCACTACTGCCAATCCTTTTCTTATAGTATTACGATAATTGTTCAAGTTCAAGGTCCCCTTATGAGTGAGAACATGTGATAACCAGTCCTTTTTTTTTAAAGCTGGATTCTCACTCTGTAGCACAGGTACTGGAGTGCAGTGACATGAATCACAGCACAGCCTTGATCTCTTGGGCTCAAATGATCCTTCTGCCTCAGCCTCCCGAGTAGCTGGGACTACAAGCACACATCACCATGCTTGGCTAATTTTTTAGTTATTCTACGTCTCTCTGTGTTGCCCAGGCTGGTCTCAAACTCCTTGGCTCAAGCAGTCTTCCCACCTCGACCTTCTAAAGTGTTGATTACAGGAATGAACCACCACACCCAGCCTAAACCTTTCTTGGTGCTTATTAAAGTCATGGTGACTTTATCAGAGTGGTGAAGTGTTTTTTTTTTTCTTTCTCAGATTAAAAATCACTCATTAATTAATGGAAACAAAAATGACTGACAGAAATCAATACAGAGTCTGTGAAGGCACCTACCAGTCCAACCTATACTTATTTTCACATTATTGCCCCATGAATTTGGCCCTTATGGTGAAAGCGAGAGGACATGTTTACATTGTTGAGTGGTGGTTGTGAGAGTCAGCATTTGGGTTTCTCTGTCCCACTTTTAGTTTCAAAACCTCATAGTAGTACTGTTGACAACTGGAGCCAACAGAGGCACTGGAGGTAGAACCCTTCAGTGGCACTTTTTCGGTCAGAATAACATATACCTATGGTTTCACCTTAGATGCTTTAAAAACTCTTTTTTGCTTGTTTGTTTGCTTGACTTTTCTTTCCTCCAATGTTCAGTACAAAACCAAGCGTGAAGAAGTGAAGCCTCCCAGTGATCCAGAGACAAACATGACAGAAGAGTCCTTCACGGCCGTCATGACAACTACTATTGCCAAGGTATCATCCTTGTCATCTGCTCACCTTACCCAGGAGGCAGGCTCTGAGTCATGAGTGACAAGGAAACAGAAATGCATTCAGTCCTTGTCATTCTCAGAATCTGCATTTGCTACTCGCTAAAATGTATTTGGAACCCCCAAGTCAATATTCATGGGGCTTTTGCGGTCATCTGCAGGCACACAAAGAGCAGCAAAATATTTGAGTCGCCTGTTAGGCTTGTTTCCAACTGAGGTTGAACAAGGTTGTGCTCTGCCTTCTTGTTCTAGTTCTCATACTGTAAGCAAGTATCCATTTTATGGTGTGTATCGCCACGTTTTTTGCATCATTGTGTTTTTCTTGGTGATTTAGCTGTTTAAAATGAACCAAAGCATAGTGCTGACTTGCTCTCTAGTGTCCCTAAGCTCAAGAAGATTGTGATGTCCATTAGGGGGAAAATTTGTGCTTTAGATTAGCTTCATTCAGGCATAAGGTACAGTGCTGTTGGCCATGAGTTCAATGTTCGTGGATCAACAGTATATATTAAACAACGTGTCTTTAAATAGAAACAAACCAAACAATGTTATATATTGACTACTGAAAACGTGTGACAGTGTTCCCAGGAACCTAACCCTGTATTTCCCCCAGGAGCAATGATACAGTATTTGCCAACTCAGTGTTCGGAGGGACTTTATAGAACATAACTATTAAGAATAAAGGGAATCAACTGTACACAGAGAGAAAAGAATGAGCCCTGTCGTTTCCACATCTCTGCCACAGCTTACAGGAGAGTTGGCTACCTCTGGGAACTGCTTTATGTTTGCAATGATACATAAGCGTAGGATGCAGGCCCATAATTCCTTGTCCGAGTCTCTCTGCCCAGACGTGATTCACCCCTTTGTTATTTTATTTTATGTTATGTTATAGTTGTAGTGCATAAGGGAGAATGTACTACATATGGAAGCTGCATGCAAGTGAAGTTTGGGCTTGTAACTGGCCCTCTCTCCCCCCATAGTAGACCTGGTACCCAATGTGTTACCACATTACCTCCCTCTCTCCTTTCCCCCTCCCTCCCTTATCAGACGTGACTCAGACTTTTATTTTTTTATTTTTATTTTTTGAGTTGGCGTCTCACTCTGTCTCCCAGACTGGAGTGCAGTGGCCGCTCCCGGCCACCGCAGCCTTGACCTGCTGGGCTCCAGCGATCCTTCCGCCTCAGCCTTCCGAGTAGCTGGAACTACAGGCGTGCGCTAATTTTTTTTTATTAATTATAGAGATGATTAGTTGCCCAGGTCTTGAACCCGCAGGCTCAGACAATCCATTCACCTCAGCCTCCCAAAGCGCGGGATTACAGGCTGAGACACCGAGCCCGGCTTGACTCAGACTTTAAAAGGGCCTTGTGGTGTATGCACGGCCTAGTTTTCATAAATGGGATTGGCAGTAATACTCCAGAATCAAGCACATCAGTTTCTGCAGCAAACTCATGAATACTTTGCCAAGTGAGAAGAATAGACTCTCACTAGCCTCATCTCAGTTCAGGATAGGTTTTGCTGCCAAAAGAATTTGCCATAAACTTATGAATAAAATCACCGCGTTTTGTGAGCTTTTCATTTCAGAATTGGAGATGAGAATGTGTGGGTCTGAAGCAGTACCTTTGTAGGCCTGTCATAGGTTTCTCCTGAATGTTCTCTGCCTTCACACAGGAAGGAAAGACTTAAGAAAAAAAGTGATATTCAGTAGACTTAAGAATTCAAATTACACAGACCATGGTTGGCTCTCTGCTTCCTACTGCAGAAAGCCTTAACTCCTCTGGATTCAAAAGTCCTACATGACCTGGCTTCTCTAGGTTTCCCAGCTTACTTCCCAGTGGGCACCCTCTCTTCTATCCAGCCTCCTCCATTATTCCTTATTCTTGCTTTTTGATGTTGTTCCTCAAATATTTTCTGAACAACCTCCTTAGGCAGGCCCTGCTGAGCACTGGGATTACAATGGTGAAAAGACAGATGTGACATCTGTGCTCAGCAGAGTGAAAAGTATTATAATCAAGAAGAACGGAGTGCCTCAGGGCATTTAACAGAGGTTTTAAATTAGTATGGGAGACATAAAGGATGAGGAAGAATTACTCAAGCAGGGTGCTAAGGCCCCGTGCATGATGACTTTTGCCTTTACAAACTATTTTTCTGGAACATGCTTAGTCTCCTGGCTGCCAGCTCCTCAGGCCTAGCTCTCCCTAACCTCGAAACCCTCATGTCCCCATTTCCACATGACGCTTATAATTCGTAGTTTGGCTGTGCAGTTAATTACATACCGTCTTACTATCACTGGCTCATGTTTCTCACAGTTAGCCTTGTCTCTCCAGCTGAATGTTAAGACCTTATGGTATAGCCAGTGTGGTTAGAACACTCTGGCTGCTCTCTAAATATTTGTAAATATAAGTAAAAAAATATAAGTAAAAAAAATGACTGATAGTTCAGCAGCTCCTCAACCTAATGCTTTATAAACCTTGTTTGCAGCATTCAAACTACATTATCTCTCAGTAATTTTATGCTATTTTTACTCAGAATAAAGTGAAGAAATTAGGCTGGGCACAGTGGCTAATGCCTGTAATTCCAGCACTTTGGTGAGAGGATTGCATGAGGCCAGGGGTTCTTGAGGATTGCTTGAGGCTAGGAGTCTGAGATCAGCCTGAGCAACAAAGTGAGACTCCATCTCTACCAAAAAATACATATATACTTTTTTTCAAGTGAGGAAATGGTTCTTACTAGTAGGTATCTGGTTAATTTTTGTACTCTAAAATCCCATTGACCATCCAGGACCAGAGACAGCAAAGAATGTTTCTTTGTTTCATTATCAGGGTAAGACAGATGATAAAAATGTCCTGAAAATACTCTGGTAAATATTTTGTACTTCCTTCATTATTATTATTATTATTTTTGAGTTGGAGTCTCACTCTGTCAAGCAGGTTGGAGGGCAGTATCACGCCCCCGGCCACCGCAGCCTCGACCTACTGGGCTCAGGCAAACCTTCCACCTCAGCCTTCCAAGTAGCTGGAAATACAGGCACATGCCACTATGTCCGGCTAATTTTTTGATTTATTGTAGAGATGAGGTCTCGCTAAGTTGCCTAGGCTGGTCTTGAACCTGCAGGCTCAGGCAATCCTCTCACTTCGGCCTCCCAAAGTGCTGGGATTATAGGTATGAGCCACCATGCCCGGCCAGCATGATTAATTCCTATCTTTTTTTAAAGCAGACTGCAAATGTAACCAGCAGTTAAAATAACCTTGAAAAGTACCTTGATTCTAAAATTCATAATAAAAGTGAAAACATTTGAGAATGAGAAATTTTCATAAGAAATATTCAAATTAGACTTGTTGAGAAGAAAAAAGACATTAAACTTTAAGGGGTAAAATTTGTTAGATGTATAGATTTTTTAAATTAGAGTTATTATATTTCCTAAAGTATTGTTGATTCTGACTGGTAGATTACTAGTTTATTATGTTCAACTATTATATCTTCTTATTTCAGGGACTGTGCATTCTAACAATATTATAATGCATCAATATGTTTTCTGACTTTTGATCCACAGAACAAAACAAAGGAATATAAAATCGTAGGCATGTATTCAGATGGCATAAATGTCTTGGGCTTGATTGTCTTTTGCCTTGTCTTTGGACTTGTCATTGGAAAAATGGGAGAAAAGGGACAGATTCTGGTGGATTTCTTCAATGCTTTGAGTGATGCAACCATGAAAATTGTTCAGATCATCATGTGGTGAGCAGACACTGTTTAATGTCATTTTGCTTTCCTTGACAATTCTGTGTCCTGGAAATTAGAAAGAAAAGGCTTTTGTTTTTCAGCTGACCTCTTGCTAGAGAAGGTGGGCATTTAATATCAAGCCACTAAAATATTAAATAATTCCATGTAGTACTCAGGAGTTCATTAACAAAAGTCTAACTATCTGCAATTGTCTTTTTCCTCAAAGCCCTAGGAGACCATCTTGCACCCAACCAGCATTCATATAAGAAGCAATTCTTAAAGAAATGATTTAAAGGAGTTTCTTGCACATGAGAACACAAAGTGCTTTCCTTATTAGATCCAATGCAGAAGTGAGATTCAACATATTTATAACTGGTACAACATGGCACTAACCTATTTGAGTAAAAACTGCCATCTGTGAGCATATCAGTGGCACCACCTGAGTATCTATCCTGTCCCTAGGGATGCCAAAAAAGCTCATCTTTCTTGGGAGACACCTGCCTCATTGATCTCGTGTTGAATTGGTTTTCCATTATTAAATCCAAGGTGTAGACACTGACAGTGACGTAAAGGGTTCAGAAAAACAACAGGCAAGCCACTTAATTCTGCAGAAACCTCAGCTTCATCATCTGTAAAAAAGGATAATAAAACCCACCCCCAGGGTTAGGAGAAGTCCATTAAGTGAAATGATGCATGCAAAATACTTTTCCCAACATGAGACATAAAGTGAGCTCCACAAATAGCACTATAATGGCCATTTCCAGTACTACTATTGCCTCTATTGCTGATACCTGGGAAGTAAGATGACCATGGCTAGAAAGAACCTAGCGTCCATATTTGGCAGTAAGGGTCAAGCGAGATAAGGAGACATGAAAATCAGCAGGATATATGTGCACTGGGAATGTGGCATAGAATATGTACCGGTCTGACTGCACGTTCTTGCCACCTCATGGTGGTTTGGGTGAGTAAAATTTAAGGTACACATGGATACTAAAAGCTAGACCCAACAAAGTCCACCTAGGACTTGAAACACCTTAGCTTCATTCTCAACCCTGTGCTCCCACCAGGTGAGGTGTATGCCAAGCTGAGGGTGCACACACTGACTTGTTTCTTCCAGCAACCCAGCTTCAGGACACACCTGATGACAGTATCATGTCTCTGTTGTGCTTACTTTCTAGCTACATGCCATTCGGTATTTTGTTCCTGATTGCCGGGAAGATCATAGAAGTTGAAGACTGGGAAATATTCCGCAAACTGGGCCTTTACATGGCCACAGTCCTGAGTGGGTATGTCAGACTCGAGATGAAACTCAACTCCTTTGATCCCATAATATGGCTGCTAAGAAGTTGAGTTTCAGTTGGCTAAAATTGGCTTCTCTTCCACATGCAGGGAAAGATAAGGCTCAGAGATAATAGTGCAGGGGGAGGAGGGCTGCCCGTTAACAGCTGTACTGTAGGTGGATCACGCTGTGCTAATTGCCAGCTCTTGGCAGGACAGCCCGGACCAGGCTTTGTTGCTGCCTTTATTGGTTGTGTTAAAATCATTATTTAAAACAAGGGAGAAACCCACTCGTAGCCTCTCTTGGCTCTCTCCTGGCCTTCACTTCCTCATAAATGTAAACTAAACAAGCAAGTAAGACTAGCCCCCGCATATCCTGAATCTGAAAGAAATTAGGAAAGGCCCAAATGAAATCAGACTGGAACAGGTAGGAGCAAGATGGCTGGTTGGTTCAAAGGCTGTTGCTGGGATTAGTACTGTTGCCATGTTTTGCAGCATCAGGGCATCAGAGAGGCTTCTGGGAAAATTTTGAGTCTGGGAGGAATTTTTAGAGGCCATAAAACAGGAATGCAGCAGGGGATGGGTAATGTGTATATTTATTACAGTCCAGCTATTGGTTCCTGAAAAGAGATATGGTGGTATAGGTTCTGAATGGTGCTCCTGGACACCTAGCCCAATCCAAGATAAGTCACATATGCTAAGAAATATGGACCAAGGGAGTGAATAAATTTAATTGATCTGACTTCCACAGGTTAATACCCACAAACACCCAGTTTGAGCAATCAACTCACCTATTGGAACTTGATTGCATTGGGGGTTTCCATCACCCAGCATTTGGTTCTTAATCTGTGTTTGCCAAAGCCACAGCTCTGCCAGCCAACACAGAAGCAGCCTGGGTTCAGACAGAGTGAGGGCCAGAGTCAAATCCCAGGGCCACACTGGTAAGGGAGGTGGGACTTCCATCTTACTAGAGGCTACCCTGCTCTGGGGCTGCTGAAACAGGCAACACCAGAACAGTAGCTAGGCAGTCACTTACTACCATTTCATAATGGAGTTCTGTGGGTTTCTATTCTTTCACACTATCAAGGTATCTAACAGAAAAGTCAGCACCTCATAGTTCTTAGCTACAAGCTCTCTATCAAGGAGACTTTCTCTCCAGGATCTGTATTTTCAATGACCGTTCCTTATTATTATTATTATTATTTTTTTTTTGAGTTGGAGTCTCACTCTGTCACCCAGACTGGAGTGCAGTGGCCACTCCCGGCCACCGCAGCCACGACCTGCTGGGCTCCGGCGATCCTTCCGCCTCAGCCGTCCAAGTAGCTGGAACTACAGGCGCGCACTACCATGCCCAGCTCATTTTGATTTATTGTAGAGATGAGGTCTCGCCAAGTTGCCCGGGTGGGTCTCGAACCCACAGGCTCAGGCAATCCACTCACCTCAGCCTCCCAAAGGCGCGGGATTACAGGCTGAGCCACTGAGCCCAACTCGTTCCTTATTATTTTAAACTCACATAACTAATCTGTAAACTCTAAGTTGCCACTTACACATATGTGTATGTGTGTGTTTGTGTCATCTGCCAAATAGGTCCTATTTCTTTCTTTCTTTCTTTCTGAGTTGGAGTCTCACTCTGTCTCCCAGGCTGGACACTCATGGCCACTGCAGCCTCATCCTGCTGGGCTCAGGTAATTCTTCTGTCTCAGCCTTCCAAGTAGCTGAAACAACAGGCATGTGCCACCATGCCCAGCTAATTATTATTATTATTATTATTTTTGTAGCAATGAGGTCTCACCAAGTTGCCCAGATTGGTCTCAAACCCCTGGGCTCAGGCAGTCCTCTCCCCTCAGCCTCCCAAAATGCTGGGATTATAGGCGTGAGCCACCGTACCTGGCCTGGAGTTCCATTTCTTAATCCCCCTATTTTATGTAACCTGTATACTTTCATGTGAAACAAGGAACCGTTTTAGAAGACAGGAATTATAAGGAAAAGAGGGTGAGTCCTAAAGTATGACTATGGACGAGCTGGGACTTTTTCCTGACTGCAACTCTGACTTCCCAGCAAGACAGGAGCATGGTACAAGGGGTGGAATGGGTAGGGGGTATGATAAGAGCTGTAATGAGGTATATGGGTCATAGAGGGCTCCAAGGAGGGAAAGATCAGCTCTACCTGGGGAAGTGAGGGATGGTTTCCTGGAAGAGGGGGAGAGTTTGGTTAGTCTTTCAGGAGGAATAAGAACTCGGCGGCAGCAGGAGGAAGTGAAGAGAACTTTGCACATGCAGCAGGAATAGCACGCACAGGGATGTGGCAGCATGACAGAACCACACTCTGTGAGCTCTGAAATTTGGATTCAGTTACTGGCTTTGCCATTAATTTTGACAAGATGCTTCACTGGCTGAGTGAGCCTCTACATCCTCATACTTGGAATGGGGACATATATTTCTTCCCTACTGCCCATGTTCTTAGTGGTTCATTATGAAAGTGGAGCAGTACCATGAATTTTTTAAAAAGCTGTTTGATAAAAGGATTGAGTGTAAGTAGGTGGTAATGTCTCTGAAACTGTTTCCCTCTCTTGTTTACAGGCTTGCAATCCACTCCATTATAATACTCCCACTGATATATTTTATAGTTGTACGAAAAAACCCTTTTCGATTTGCCATGGGAATGGCCCAGGCTCTCCTGACAGCTCTCATGATCTCTTCCAGGTAAATAGAAGGGGGGGATTCTGGACTAAACTTTATCAACTCTCACCTCACTTGATGAAGCAGACTCTGGCCTGTGGCTTTGTATCTGTTTTTAACTTGAGAAATGACTTCCATATTCTCTGCCCCATCCTTGAACATGTTTCTTCACCCTTCTGAATATTTCCTGCCCTCTTGGTATGGCCTCCAGCCCAGGAAGGGGTTGTAGTCTAACTGGAGACAGCAGTTGGCACAGCACCTTCTGATTCCTGGATCTGCCAAAAGGGCCAGTCTGCTTTGGGTCCTCTGTTTACTTTTTTGGAAGAAAAGTGTCTCTTCAGGTGGAGACTGAGGACCAGCATTCCTAGATCATAAGTTCTTTTTTCTTTTTGTCACACAGTTCAGCAACACTGCCTGTCACCTTCCGCTGTGCCGAAGAAAAGAACCAGGTAGACAAGAGGATCACAAGATTCGTGTTGCCTGTTGGTGCTACAATCAACATGGATGGGACTGCACTCTATGAAGCAGTGGCTGCTGTGTTTATTGCACAGTTGAATGACCTGGACCTGGGCATTGGGCAGATCATCACTATCAGGTGGGATGTGGTATCACACTCATTTTCATCCCTGTGACAGCATTGCCTCAGGTAAAAATGGTCCATGAAGGGAGACCAAGAATAGCCCAGGAATGGATTGTTTTTCTTGGTCTACAAAGTCTCTTCCCAAAATTAAATACATTACAAATAGTGGACCCCTGGTATGCAATGCTTCTGCTTCACGGTCTGCATAACCAAAATCATCAGTCTGTGCTCAGTGTACCCAGTAGGTGTTAGGTACATAGTAGGCACAAAGACTCAAGGCTGAATAAGTGCCAGCCCCTGCTTTCAAGCGATCCCTGGTAGATGTGGATACAGATGTCCACATGAATGCTGAGGACTGTGACGCAGGCAATATCAGAACTTTCTATGGTGGTCACAGGGGGCACCAAGGAGGGAAGGGCTGGCTATACCCAGGAAGGCGAGGGAAGGCTTCCCAGATGAGGGAAAAGTTGAGCTGCATCTTAGAAGAGGCATAGGAACTTAGCAGGTGAAGAAGGAAGCTAAGAACGTTTTGGATAGCAGAAAGGGCTTGTGACATAGCCATGGCCTAGTTACAGAGTACAGATTATTTGTTATGGCTGACATAAAGGGTACAATGTGGAAAACACAAAGGAATAAGGAATAAAGAAAGGTTTTGGATGGAGCTCAGGGAAGGGTCTTATACACTTTGTCATATTATGGACAGATCTGCATTTTAAAAGGGTAACTGGCAATATGGCAGATGGATTAGATGGGGGAAGGGACCACAAGCTAGACGCCTGGTTAGGACACTTTTGCAGAAGTCCAGGTCTAAAAGGCCTACACTGAGGCACTGACACTGGGGGTGAAGAAGAGTTAATGGATTGAAGAGGCACCAGGTAGATTCAGAGTGAGAGAAGGGGAAGACTAGGATGAGCCCCAGGATTAGTAGATGCTTCTGGATTGGCAGGTACCAAAACAGGAACTAGCATATGAGAAGCAAGTATAGACGGAAAGATAAAGAGTTAAGATGTTTTGACACAACAATTTTGAAATTCCTTTAAGACTTCCAGGTGGAGATATGCAGTGAGAAGTGTAGGTGTGGATCACAAATACAGAAGTCAGGGACATCAGCATAATGGTGTCTTCAAACATGTGGGTCACAAGTCAGTTGTGTGAGTTTGAATCTCAACTACACCATGACTAGCTGTGACATTGGGCAAGCAGCCTAAATTCTCTAAGCTTCTGTTTTCTTACTTGTAAAATGAAGATAATATTACCTACAGGCTGAGTGTCGTGGCTCATGCCTGTAATCTCAGCACTTTGGGAGGCCAAGGTAGGAGGATTGCTTGAGCCTAGGAGTTTGAGACCAGTCTAAGCAATATAGCAAGACTTTGTATCTAAAAGAAAAAAATCAAAAAATTTAGCAAGCCATGGTGACACATGCCTGAAGTCCTAACTAATTGGGAGGCTTAGGTGGGAGGATCACTTAAACCCAGGAGTTTGAGGCTGCAGTGAACCGTGATTGTGCCACTGCACTCCAGCCTGGGCAACAGAGTGAGACCCTGACTCAAATAATAGTAATGATAGTACATACAATTTATTCAAGTGGTGGTGATTAAGGTGATGCATATAAAATGCTTAGAAGAGTACCTACATAGTGAGTACTCAGTGAAGGTTGGGAATGGATGATATGGCATAGGAAGAGAAGGAAGCTAAGGACTGAGGTTTAGGTAATCCTAGTATTGAAGGTAAGCAGAGAGGGGAAAAGCCAAGAGGGAGAGTGAGAAGGACAGAGAGGTAGGAGGGAAGGAAGATAGGAGACTTTGGTGTCTTCGAAACCCAGGGGAGGAATATTTTCAAGTGTGAAATGAGACAGAGTCAGATACTGCAGATAATTCTTGTCAAATGAGGACTGAAACTGTTTGTTCAAGTGGATGGTAGAAATTTCATTACTGAATTTTGCCAGAGTTTTTTCTCTAGGAAGCACTGTTTAGTATGGTGACCAGGCATGGCCAGTGGCTAACTGAATTGGATCGCAGAGATATAGTTTAATTCCATCACTGCAGAAAGTTCTGTTGGACAGCACTGCATGTAGTGGTTTAGAGTTGACCCAGAGATTTTAGTTCAGTTTAGACTGGAAGTTTATGACTAAGGTGGGTCCCTAGGTATACTCAAGGTTGAATCTGAACCTTTTAGAGTTAATTCACCTGTGTATCTCCAGGCTAGACATAAATTCTAGGCATACAATAAGAGTTTGTTAACTAACAGTGTTCTCATCATTTTAAAAATTCTCCCAACCCCAGATCATAAAGTATTTATTGCTATTTGCTTGAAATTTACTGAAGGCAAGTACAGAATATACCAGTTGGCACAACAGCCGGGGAACTCTTGCAGTGCTCTGTTAATCTATAAAAAGTGTTAGTGACTGAAGAAGCCTGTGTAAAGGAACTTGAGCAAAGTCCTGTGGTTACAATAGCAGAGAGTATTAGAACCAAAACCTTGAATCATGCCAGAGAATGTTTCTGCTCCACAACCTCCTGTGTGATGCCGGCAGTTGTTACTTTTACAATTCCAAGGAATTTTTCCCACCTCCCTCACACTGGCCTGTGGAACCCAGTGGCCCTAAGCTGATTTCCAAGAAGTGGTTGTATGAGATGCCAATTCTTTTGTGAATTTGCCACTTTATGATGAATCCCCCTCCCTCTTCCTTAGTCATGAGTTTTCTAGATCATTGTAATCAATTTTTTTTAAACCTGTTAGAGGAATCAACTTTGGGTCTAGAGGCTAAATCATCAATTCACTTCAAAAACCTTTCTCCCTACTCTCTGGCATATTCTTAAATCAGATGTGCTGATATCTACTGACCTAGAACCAACAACAACTATGAGGCCCATAGAATCATTGACTTAAAATTGAAAATCCTCTCTGGTTCTACCAGGGGAGGTGGGGGGGGGAGTTGGTTTTAACTTTACAGATTACAGTTATCGCTCATGTGGCTAATGGCTTAAGAAATTTTTAGGCCAGGCGTGGTGGCTCACACCTGTAATCCCAGCACTTTGGGAAGCCAAGGAGGGAGGATTGCTTGAGTAGTACGTAGGAGTTCAAGACCAGCCTAGGCAACATAGTGAGACCTCGTCTCTACAAAAACTCGGGGGGCGGGGGGGAAACAGCCTGGCATGGAGGCGCATGGCTGTAGTCGCAGGCGGCTGAAGAGGAAGGATTGCCTGAGCCCAGGAGGTCGAGCTGTGGTGAGCCCTGATTGTGCCACTGTACTCCAGCGTGGGCAAAAGAGAGAGACCCTGACTCTAAAAAAAGAGAGAAAGAAAGAGACTTTTTTAGGCCCATACTGTATTTCTTTCTGTGGACCAGACAACAAAGAAACCATCTTCCCAAAGAATACCCTTTTGTGGTTTCATTGTAATATTCACTTATCAAAGATTACAACTGATGGAAAACTGGGTAAATTGAATTGATAAATACATGTAAATTATAAAGAAAGATCATTACAGGATTTGGGGCCTAGAATGAACTTAAAGAAAAAAAGTAGCAGTAGTAATAGTCATAGTTTTGGCAGTGGCTGTAGTTGTAGTAGCAGTAGTAATAATACCAGCAGTGGCAGCAACATTAGCAGTAGAAAAATGGCGCTTTTTTTTTTTTTTTTTTTTGAGTCTCACTTGTCACTCAAGCTGGAATGCAGTGGCATGCTCATGGCCACCACAGCCTCAGCTTTCCAAGTAGCTGGAACCACAGGTGCACGCCATCATACTTGGCTAATTGTTTTGATTTATTGTAAAGAAGAGGTCTCGCCAAGCTGTCCAGGCTAATCTTGAACCCCTGGACTCAGGCAGTCTTCTCACCTCTGCCCTCCCAAAGTGCTGGGATTACAGACCTGAGCCACTGCGAGAAATGGCATGTTTTTAAGTGTGTACTATACATGTGCTACTCTGAATGCTTTACGTGTATTGCCTCATTTAATCTTCACAGCAGCCTGCAAAGTAGACATAATACTCCCAATTTTATAGGCAAGGAAAGGAGATTCAGAGAAGTAACTTACCAGAGGAAACCAGTTTAGCCTCAGAGGCCGAAGTATAACCCAGGTGTGTCTGACTCGAGTTCACTCGAGGCACAACCCAGCCCTCAACCCATTTAGAGAGTCGAGTTCAGTGGTCTCTCCTGAAACAAGGCCTCAGTGTGAGGAAAGAAGTTTGTAGCACTGATTATTGTTTTCTTCTGTGAAAACCCTCTAAGTCCAAGTGGGATATGTTCATATTTTTATGTTATTTTCTCCAATCTGAGGATATATATTCCAAGTTTCAGGCAAAGCCAATCAAGCGGCTGAAGTCTAGCAAGCCAGGTCAAGGCTAAAGGGCAGCAATTTCTTTGAGGAATGAGTTTTAAGTTTCAAGCCCAGCCTCTCTAGCTATAGGGACATGGTTAACTGTGACATGTCATGGCTTCTGGGAGGGATCAATTGGCATGGACACAAATCACTTCTGGCAAAGAAAAACCACTGATGCATTCAGTTTAAATTCTTTTCAATCAGCATTAAAATAAACTTGGGTTTTCCAAAATGTACTTAGGTCAGAAGAATTATGAGGGCCTGAAACCTGTAGTGAAATTGGTACGGTCCCAGAAATCTCCAATTTACTGTGAATTGATGACTATAGCCACTGAATAAAAACACACTGTCAAAGAACGCTGGCCTGTGTTTGACTGTAACCCTCAAATGCCCTCGGCAACACATCAGTAGACAGATGAGTGGGCAGTAGAATCAGCTTCCTAGGAACTCTGAGACTTTTTCAGCTCAAAAGAATATGGATTTGTGGAGAGAATAAAAAATACTTCTAGTTTAAATTGGCAGTTTCTGCATTTTCACCGTTCAACACAGTGGCATCTGGGCAGCAGTTCAGACCTTGGCCCAAGGGTAAGAACATGTCTCCAGAAAGTATCGTGGGTGTACCCTCAGGCTCATTCAAATCGAGGAATTTTCGGGCATGGTGAGCCCTCGATTTCTCTAGAATGATCCAATTAAAATAAGGAAGATGTTGATGAAAAACTACACATTACGAAGAGAAAAATCCCTAGTGCCACATCTGATCTACCATGAGGTAAATGCATGGTAATAAAGGTTATCTGACTGCCTCTCCTGGATTCCAGATCTCTCTTCCTTTTGCACAAAGCGCATCCACTGGCAAAAAGGGGCAGTTAGTAGTAAATGCTTGTACATTGGACAGAAGTCATAGGTATTTCTCAATTTAGTGCCCTAAAGGGCAGCTCCCAGAGAGGCAAGGTAAAGAGCCCTGTAATGTCAAGAGAGTGCATAAAACCTTTGCCTTCACCTGAGATGCCCTTGTCTATCCAGTGAGCTCCATGAGCTCCATGGGCTCCATTAGCTCCATTCCTCATCTGAAGAAGCCAGGCAGGACCCCATGGGCCATCCTGGCCTGTCCCAGAACTAGTTCAGTAGTATAGACTCAAAAGTAATATCAGTTTAAAATCAGTTCATCTTCCCAAGCATCTTCAGAACCATCAGGGACAGTGGCATGAACAGAGGCTTTGGGGTAAGACCAACTTGAGTTTGAGTCCCCATCCAGTGTCTTCCTAGCTTTGTGACCTTGAGCACTTACCACTAAGCTTCTACCCATCCTTCAAGGAAACTTACATTCCTGGCATATATTAAGTGCTCAGTAAATTATTGGATGGGTGAATAGATGGTAGAAGGGAGGAGGAAAGCAGTTGGAGAGGTGCCTTATTTAGGATGGGTGCATGCATGGATAAGTAGAGAAAGCCTCTATAAACACCAGTTGGTAAACTCTTGCCTTTCTCTTGAATGTATTCGCTGCTCATTTTATGGTGCCACTCATGAAGTTCTTCCTTGCATTAGAGTGATATGCCATATCTCTCCCTGCAAGGAGATGGCGTCATGTACCTCTCAGCCCCCCAGCAGTTCTCATGCTGTAATCAAACAGAGCTAATGGTCAGCAGGTAACAGATTCTGACAGAGCAGTGGCAGCCATTGGGACTAACAGTTTCAGACCAGGGGCCTGAAACAGGAGAGGCAGGTGTCTAACTCTTTTCCTACTGGTGTGTTTTGGTTACAGTGTCACAGCCACAGCTGCTAGCATTGGAGCTGCTGGGGTGCCACAGGCTGGTCTGGTGACCATGGTGATTGTGCTGAGCGCCGTGGGCCTCCCTGCTGAGGATGTCACTCTGATCATCGCTGTTGACTGGCTCCTGTGAGTTGGAAGAAATGCATTGCATTGGCCGGATGGGCAGGCAGGCTTCCTAGCCTTGCAGGCTCTGCAGGCTGTCATCATTCTCTCTTCATATTGCCTAATGAGCCACCTGTTGCTGCTTTAATTTCCCTCTGACCAGGCCATCTGATAACGTGCTTAAAAATTAACTCCTCATAACTTGGAGCAGCAATTTAAAAAAGCCAATGAGCTCCATTAGCTCATTATACCTGGTAGTGCTCAAGGTTAGAAGTGGGGTGTGGGACAAGATAAACATAGAATAATTAGGTAAAGAAGCCAGGTAGGGCCCCATGGGCCATCCTGGCCTGTCCCAGAACTGGTTCAGCAGTATAGGCTCAGAACTAATATTAGTTTAAAATCAGTTTATCCTCCCAAGCATCTTCAGAACCATCAGGGACAGTGGCATAAGCAGAGGCTTTGGGGTAAGACCGACTTGAGTTTGAGTCCCCATCCAGTGCCTTCCTCGCTTTGTGACCTTGAGCAAATTCCTCATCTGAGGCCCAGTTGCATTATCTGTGAGATGGGAAAAATTCTGCTTATCTCATTGGGTTGTAAGGACTGAGTGAGCTCATGCGAATGGGGTGTCTAGAACAGTGTCCGGCAGCCAGGATGGGCTCAATAAATGTTAAGTTTTATGGTAATGATTAGAATAAGTTGGACTGTTTCAGGCGCCAGCCAGTAACTCTTTTCTCCCTTCCTCTCTCCTCACCCCCCTCCCTCCTCCCTCCACCACACACACACACACACACACACACACACACACACACACACGTAAGGAATACAGCAGAACGTCTGGGTGAGAATGAGACTTCTATGACCCCCAAGGTTAAAGTTAGAACTAAGCTGGTTCCTGCATTTATCCTTGATACCACTTCTGTGCACCAGTCTTCCAGCATCTAAGTGTGACTCCCTCCCCTGGCCGTCAGGCGTGCTCCATATTGAGCTTTTGCTCAGCCAGCTCGGGCTTGCTGGGGACTCTGGTGTTATGTACTGCAGTTTGCAGATGGCACCTGAGATGGAGGAAAGAGAAGCAGAGACATTCCATGGGGGTATGAAGATACAGATTCATGTTCCAGAAAAGCAAAAGCTCCTGCACCCTGGCTTGGAAGTTATGCGATGTGGGGCCCTTCAGCAGCTAGCTGGGGCTAGAAGGCCCAACTGAGGTGAAGGCAAGAATCGGTTTTTGTGATGATGGTGGATTTGCACTTCTTTCCCTGGTTCTTCCTGGAACCAGTGATCTTCACTACCAAGATACTCAGATGAGTCAAAAGTTCCATCTGAGGTCATGGGATAAAAAGATGGTAGGCTAGGCCGGGTGTGGTTACTCAAACCTGTAATCCCAGCACTTTGGGAGGCCAAAGTGAGGGGATTGCCTGAGCCCGTGGATTCAAGAACAGCCTGGGCAACTTGGCAAGACCTCATCTCTACAATAAATTCAAAAATTATTGTAGAGCATGTAGGTGTGGTAGCACGCGCCTGTAGTCCCAGCTACTTGGAAGGCTAAGGCAGAAGTATCGCCTGAGTCCAGCGGGTCGATGCTGGGATGGCTGTGAGCGTGCCACCACACTCCAGCCTGGGCAACAGAGTAAGACTCCAACTCAAAAAAAAAAAGAAAAAAAAAGATGCTAGGGCCACTTCAATCCCTGACTTTGTTCTAAATAACAAAAAGGCATCCAGAGTGGCCATGTGTAAGCGTTGTTGGCCTTTTCTGCTCTGTAGGTGTCGTTTTCATGAGATTAGCTGTGCATACAGTTCCTATCAACAGGGTACCAGGATCAAAATGGCTACTCCCCTCTTCAGTGTGCTTTCTCTACATTCTTCCTGCTACCAAACTCTTCTTCAGGCTGTCTGAGAACTAAGCCTCACAAAGAAATCCATTCCTGGGCCGACCTGTATTTTCTGACCCTGTGTTCTGTGTCATTCCTTCATGCTTGCTCATAGAGTGACCTAGTTTGGTAAAGAAACAAGTGCAACAAGGACACAAACAAACACACACACCCCACACACACTTGGTACATACACTACCAAGTTCTGTCACCTTTCTCTGAGCAGTCCACAGTGCCATTTGCACTGAATCTGGAAAATCCATAAGAAAGAAGTTAGGGTTTAAAAACTTACTGAACTCTGGATCTCCCTCAGTCCCTCCAAAATATCTAGAAAAACTTTATTTATATTTCTTTGGAAGGAGAAGAGGAAATTTAGGGAGACTAAGGGGAGCCATGGCTATTTTCGGGGGCACAGACTTTGTAGAGCTGTTTGTTCATTCACTGCCTTTATAAATGATCTTCTGCCCCAGGCCTGTCAGGAGCCTACAGTCAGTCCGCCATCAGGGTAGCATTTTCTGCATTTACTTATATCTGCACTGAACATGTTGGGTCCTTTAGTCTCTAGGCTTCCTGTCTGACTCCTCCTCTCTCTTCCCCAGGGACCGGTTCAGGACCATGGTCAATGTCCTCGGTGATGCTTTCGGGACGGGTATCGTGGAAAAGCTCTCTAAGAAGGAGCTGGAGCAGATGGATGTTTCATCTGAAGTCAACATTGTAAACCCCTTTGCCTTGGAATCTACAATACTGGATAACGAAGACTCAGACACCAAGAAGTCCTATGTCAATGGAGGCTTTGCTGTAGACAAGTCTGACACCATCTCATTCACTCAGACCTCACAGTTCTAGAGCTCCTGACAGCAGATTACTGGATCGATGAAGGACATCTCCACGAGAGTCATGGCAAACACTGATAAAGGAAAACAGAAACACTAATGGCCAAGTGTACATTTGATTTGATATACAGACCTCCAGATTATTTTCTATATTTGGATTACAGCCTTTTTTCTCTGGGTTTTGGGATTTGGGAGTGGGGTCAAATGAAAGGAAATCGATTAAAAGGAAACTTGTATTATCTTGGTTTTAAAAGTTCTATAAGAGACAAAGTTTGGAAGTATATAAAGTAATAACTATTAGCATTTTGTCGTGGATATGGAAGAGAAAATGCTTTCTTATGTACAAACCAGCATTTTGGGTTTAAAAAAAAAATTCTGTCATTGACTACAAATTTTTACTCAGGCTTTCTATTGACATGGATTTCCTTTGACCTCTCACTTTTTTATAGATTATAATGCATCTAAACAACCCCTCCCCAGTTAATGTGCCAAATTGTCCATTTTGAACTTATCTCTAGCCAATTTCAAAGAAATTGCTTTGAAAGAAAACAGACCAGCCCAGTTCCGCAATAACAGTTTTAAGGTAGGTGTAGGGTTTGGGGGAAGGGAGATGTGTTCTTTTTTCAATGTACTGTATTAGGACACTGGTAACTGTAAACCCAGTGTTCAGTATAGAGCTATATATATATATGTATATTTTATTATTTTCATATAATTTGCCAGAAATCAGAATTCAACTGTCAATGTGAAATAAAGAGCTCTCCTTGTACTTGAATAATAACTACAATTCCAACCTAGGTCTGCTTTGGGGCTTATCAGAATTCCTTTCTCAGGAGTGCTAGAATGAGAAATCATGTTGTTTGATCAATTCACATCTGTGTATCAGCCCTAAAACAGAGATATATTATAGTGATACTCCAAGGTGGTGTAGCTTCCCGAAGGGAATCCATATCAGCTCTGTACAAGATTATATGCAAAGATGTTACTCACAAAAGGCTGAATGTGCTTTTATCCAACTGGAAGGCTTCACTCTTCCAAGTTCTGTCATTCCCGCTTAAAGAGGTCAGTATTTTGCCACTCTTGCACTTTCTTACCCATTGAGGTCCAAACAATTGTCACAAGCTACCAACTAAGTTGTATTTTAATGTAGATGTGATGGGTTAAACAAGCCACGTTGCAGATCCCTACCCGGATTCTTGCAGAATAAATCCTACAACATGAGACACTGGTATTAGTGGTTCAGGGGAAACTCTTTCATTCTGTGACACTTGTCTCCTCCTCCAGAGAGGATTTGCTCTGACTAGTAATCTTGGCCCTACTCATTAAAATCCCCTGCTTGCCATTTTCCTGATAATTTATGAAAATAGCTTATTAAAGTGTGTTTCAGTTCTCATCTTGTAAATAATGCTTAACATAAACTTGTACTTAGGCACTGAGATCCAAAAGAGTCATGTTCTACAGTATTGTATAGCAACTTAAACCTGTGCTTTTATATTTAAAGAAACCAGAAATTGTGCCAAAGATAGTAGAAAAGTACATAAATGCTCAGTGTTGACCACTGCACCTGAAATCTACGATAGAATGATACTGAATTGTCATGTAAACATCATAAAGTGTGAACAAGAATTCAATGTGAATTTTAAAATGCAAATATTGGTCTTGTTTATAGGAAATAAATCTAAATCTAAATGAAGTTGAATCAGTAACTTATCTTGGGCTGAATGGTTCTATCCCTTACCAGTTTGCCCCAACTAGTGGCACTAGTGTTGGCAGAGCTACTTGTGAACTGTGGGTCATCCTTACTTTGGAGTCAGTTTGTAACCAGCCTCTTAACACACTGTGCTGTTAACTCATAAAAGAGAACAATGTTCCATTTCAGCCTCAATAAACATTTCCCTCATTCTTGCTTTCCCGCCTTTTTTTCTTTCTCTTATCTGTTCCTTTATCTTACTTACTATGATGGGTGTGGGAAGACAGAGATAGGGTCTGTTGAATCAGATTGTACACAGATTATTGTTTTCAAAATCTTATACTCCAAGAATGAATAAGTGAGGCCTGAAGGAAAATAAATCTCTTTATTCATATTAACCAGTGGGGATTACAAGGCGGAAATAGAGCACCATTGTGAACAGTTGTGTGGGTATTTTGTGACTGAGATGAGAGTAGAATTTTCTTGGAAGTTACTATAATAGGAGATAATCTTATCTCAATATGACAGTGACTTGGTTTTATTGAAGGACCAATCCTGCCTTCTGAAATGGACTACAAACTCTGGACAGCTATATTCAGTATCCTTTAAAGGAATGGCACAGTCCTACCTGGAATATTTGAGTCATGGGGGCATTCTTTGGACTCACTTGTGACAGACAACAAAAGAACGGCCAGCTCCCTGTTCCCCACTGAGAGAATAGTAACTCTTCATTAAAATGCTTATCTCTACTTGGTCAAAGGAGTATAGGAGAGTGTCCTTTGTTTACACCATGGGAGAAAATACCCAACAATACAACTCCTTAGAAATAGAGAGATTTGATTGGAAGAAGTGGTGGCCATGAGAAGGGGCCCTCTGTGTGATTTTGGTCTTCCCTAAGTATGAGGGGGAATCCCCAAAAGTTAAAATTTTTCTTAACCCTCCTAGGTAAGTTCTCTAGGAATCCATCAGCATCAGTGTACTGGCCAGCACTGTTGTAAGGAGGTGCATTCAGCTTCAGTAAATTTTTTTTGGAGATTCTTTCAACACACTTGCCCATTTCATGATGGGTGATTTATGAGCACACCTGCCCACAGTGCACTGAATGTTCAGAGTTTTGTTTTTTTTTACCACAAAGCAGCATAACCCCTATGCCCCACTATTCCTACTCACCCAATCTCACCCTGAGGAACTTTGTTTCCTTTGATTAAAAAAGGGTAACGTTTTGCTGATATGGAAGAAGTGAAACAAAAAGCACTAAAAGGTATCAACATTGATGAATTCAAAAACTGTTCTGAGCAGTGGAAGAGACATCTCGATAGGTGTATTGCATCAAATGGAGAGTATATGAAGGTGACTGATGTGTAGACATGGAAGAATACACAACTTTTTATAAATACTGGGGTTTTTTGGGTCCCTCATATACTCATGGAGAGAGACTAGCAAATGACTATTTTTTCAACAAATCTTTATAAGCCCACTGCGTGTACAAGGCCCTTTATTAAAACACACCCCCATTCTCAGAACAGCCATGAGAAACACGTTAGGCTTAAAATCAGGCAGTAGGCCAGCAGCATTGTTGGCTTTACAGGGGATTAAGAATCTTTCCTCTGAGAGCAGGAGAGAAGAAATGGTCCCTTGGAGCCTTGGAAGAATGCTAGAAGATTCTATGCAACTGGATTGATATGCTGTATTCTCTAGCTGCCCAGCAAAGGACCACAGAATACAATGAAAGGGCATACAGCTCTGATATATCAATTTTGTGACTCTTGCCAATATCTAAGACTTGGTTTTCTCTTCCATGAAATGGGGATGACAATTCTTGCCTCATGAGGCTGCTTTAAGTAGTAAATGAGAATATGTATATGATGCCTTTAGCAAAAATCTCTTTCCTCCAGACCTGCTCCTTTCCCCATTTATTTTTATAGGTAATCCACAGAGATGCACTTGCTATCCCAGTGTCTTAGGAACTGCATCCCTTGATGTGATTAAGGAGTAGCTCCTGCCCAGCTCCTGCTCTTGGGTTATTAGAACAAACATTATATCCAGTTATTAACCCCCAGTTAATAAAGGAGAAAACCCTTCCAGAAATGGAATATTTTAATCTAAAGAGTATACAACTTAGAATTTCTCCTGTAATGGATCATGTGGGAAGTAAACGAAAACAAGCATTCACAAGTGTTCACAATGCTTTTTTTCTATGAGATATAGGGAGAGTTTGAGATGCTCAAGCTGTGTGTGTGAGGCTGAGATATACATTCATGTAATACCCTCTTCATTTGTCCTGAAAATTAGAGTTCATGAAGTTCACTTTTGCAGCAGTCTTGGCCTATAAATTTCCTGTGGCACCTCCCCTCAAGCAGACTTTATTCTAGGGCCCACATGGGCCCTTCCTACCCTGAGGTAGGAACGTGCCTCCCTCCCCTGCAGTCTTAGACTTTTTAAGTGAGAGCCAGTTAATATGAACAATAAGACGTAGGCTTTGTTCATTTAACTTTGGGAACAATATATTGATCCATATCTATGGAGTTGGGTGACTGCCTAAGTATGTGATGTTACTGATGGGGGACATTTCTCAATGGCCTAGGTTACACAGTGTCACAAACATCCTAAGCAAGCAGAGAGATCCAACCACAAAATTGAGGTCCCATTTCTTCCCTCACTAGGACAAACCACCACCATGTGTAATTTGGAGGGAGTCCCCAAAATTAGGGGACTCCCTCCAAATCTCTACCTGGTCTGCCACTTTTAAGGTATCACAAAGTTCAGAATAGTTATGAGTAAACATACAAAGACAAGTAAACATCCATATCCCTTTTGTTATTCTGGTTGGAGAAAATGAGAAAGGAACATGTGGCCTCTTTTAGAGAAGTTCTGCTGGTTTCTAGAAGGCTCTTGCAGCCTGGAGCTGGGAAGCTCTGGCCCCATGTGGCAGTCAGGGATATTACCTAGAGAGAAGCTTGCACTGCAAGTGCTGTTTATCAAAGAATGGAGACAAAGAACCCTCAAACTAAAACACAGAATCAACCAAATCTGAATAGTAGTGTTTAGATGTGTCCTGTCCCCAATGCCATTTTCCGTCCAAAGAACTGCCTTTTGCTGACAGACTACAGGCTCTGATAGCTGCCATCTCTTCATAACTGAGGAAAGCAATTAGCAAGTATTAGGAGGATGTCTCCTTTTATCACTTCAGGGCATTTAAAAGAATGCAAAGCAGGGTTGCATCATTTTTGCATTTTAGGGTAAGGGGTCTGTCAGCCGGGTGAAGATGAGGCATCTTTCCTCTGCATTGTCCCTGTTTTTCCTTCCGGAATTAGACTATCCCACCCCCCCACCCCCCC